AATGGAACCCACTGTATTTTGATCCATATATTAAGACGTTAGGCGTGTCCATGTAAATGTTATCTGAATGCCAGCTGAAAAGACCTTTTCTCCTCCTGCCACATTCCAATCCTCCTCACTGAGGCCGCTCCGTGGCAGCTGGATTTCCCAGCAACAGGGCAGTGGGTGGACTTAGCAACAGTAACTTAGCATTAGCTACAACAAATAAATGAGGTGACCTAAACAACAAGGAGACAGTGAGCAGGGGAAGGCGAATGTCCACTCAGAGCAGAGTTTAAGACAAAGGAACGTAAGGTGTCAGTGAAATCTGTGGTTTACATGTGAAAGGAACAGAAAGAAATCTGACCCATTCAGAAAAAAACAACTGTCCAAATGTGGTGCCGGGACCGTTTTCGTCCTGCTAAGGTTCTGAACTTCTGATATTTGCAAATAGCGATGAACATATAATGATGGTAGACTGACTGGATGTGAAAAAAGCTGGGACAGCTCAGGCCGATCAAGTTGTTGCTCTTTAAATGAGAAAACAGAAGTTGGAAGATGATTTCTGTTATAGGTTATTGTGCAATGACTTTACTGATGTGCCCCAGCTGAGATGAGGCCTGTGAACTGAAATGTGGTTCGCATCTTTAGCTCAGCGACGCACTTAACATTGTACATCGACACTGCGTGGCTTTTTCTCATTTGCAGAAAAGTACGCACCACCTATGTTTGGAGGCCCCAGCTGTTAAATACTGTGGAGTTTCTGTGTTCAGCGTGCATGTTTTCAATCTGAGATTGTCTTTTTAGGAGACTGAGCTCAGTATATGTTCCTTCATTTGCTCTGTGCAAGTAAAAAAAGACAACAAAAAAAAAAAATCAAACAAGACACTGGCCACTTTATTGGGTATACCTCTTCAGCTCTTGCTGGTTAATGCAAATATCTCACCAGTCAGTCACATGGCAGCGATTTAATGTATTTAGGCATGTTTGTATTTCAGAAACTGCTGATCTGCTGGGATTTTTCCCACACAACCATTTCTATGGTTGAGAGAAAAGAGAAAATATCCAGTGAGCACGAGTTCTAGGGTGAAAATAAATGCCTCTTTCATGACAGAGATCAGAGAAGAATAGCCAGACCGCTTCAAGCTGGTAGAAGGGCAATCAAAGTAAATGAGTTAAAGCAGCAGAAGGCCACAATGAGAAGGACGGCTAAAACGGGGAAAAAAGAAACAAAACTGGGCAAGTAGTGTCCAATTTTGGCCACACCAAAAAAGTTCCCTGGTCTGCTGGTCAGAATTTGGCATAAACATGAAAGCATGTATCCATCCTGCCTTATATCAATAGCTCAGCCGGTGGTGGTGCTGTAACGATGTGGCTGATATTTTCTTTGTAGCTCATAGTACCAATTAAGGATTGCTGAAACACCACCACAGCCTACCTATTGCTGCTGACCATGTCCATCCCTTTATGACCGCCATGTGCTCATCTTCTGATGGCTGTTTCCAGCACGTCACAAAACCCATATCATCTTAACCTGATTTCTTTAAGGTGGCCTTAAAGTCACCAGATCTCAATCTCACAGAGTACCTTTTGAGAGACTTGCATCATGATGTCCAGCCAACAACTCTACAGCAACTTTGTGATGCTATCACGCCAATATCGACCAAAAATCTCTCAGGAATGTTTCCTGTTGAATCTATGCCACGAAGAAATAAGGCATCTCTTAAGACATCCCAGCATGAGACTAGCAAAGCGTAACTAATAAAGTGGCAGTGGGTGTATATTCTATAGAGACATGAGATATTGTTATGGGCGTAATTATGGGTTTTTCTACAGTTGGGTCATAGGAAAAGTAGGATTTACATATATTTGAACAGAGCGCAAACATTGACACAGTTGGATGGATTTAAAGAATTTTCTTTCAGTAACTTGATATCCTGGCAGATAGAAAAAAAAACAACAACATTCCAGAGTTATTACTCAGTTGATGCAAAGCGTGCGCTTCACTCTTTCGGAGAAAGCACTGAGCTCTCACGAGAGCGGCGTGCACCTTATTGATTTTGAGGTCAAAATCGATACATTTCATCGTCTTGAGTGGATTAACTTCAACTTTTAATTGGATTTCTACTTTCTACAATGAAAGCTTATTTGAAAATCAATACGCCAATCAATACCTCCATGTTCAGAAAGTTCAGCTGTGGTGCTGGAAATGGAGGAACGTAGCAGACACCTGCTACTGGAGAGGCGCGCACATGAGTCAGTGAGGTCTAACAAATCTAATTAGCATGTATTTGCTACTGATCTGCACAAATAACTTCTTTCTTCATCAGACAGCAATTAGACAGGAAGTAAGAATTGTCATTTTAGGTCTCAAAAAGATGTTAAGTTTGCTTTGTGTCCACTTTTGTAGATAAAAAGACCCCAACAGGTAAGGAAGCATGTTGGAACCAGCAATCGAAGCAAAGTATATCTAATGATGGGGGTGATTCTGCTCATTATGCCATTTCAGATACGAGGCCCATATGGATAGAATTCTGAAAATGATCATGTGCCTCATAATTAGCGTTCCAGTAATAAATTTCGGTGTTTCTTAGCGTTGACTTAATCCCAGTTTAGCCTGGGCAACATAGCAGCAGAACACGCCAAGCCACTAACTCTAATCCTAGACAGGTAAACAGCCTTATATGATAACTGTTCCAAGCACAGTTTATTTTTATGAAGCATGTGGCTAATTATTTCTTTTGTTCAGCCAGATGTCATAGACCATGAGACTAGCAGGTGGTCCCATATCTAATTAGTCCAGCTGACCAACTAGTAGCAGAGATTAGGAGCACATTTGACCCTGGCTGCTGCAGACTGGTCTGCTTAAATTAACATCCCAAAGCCCAAACTCACCAATTAAATTTAAGGCTTACTGAAACCCATGCGGCATTCTTGCGATAGTGCCGTTTATATGAAATGTAAAATACCTCTTGGTGAAGGAGGAACTGGCTTGACTTTTTAGTTTCTGCTGCAGCTTTCACATCATTAAAACACACAGGATGCTTCTTTTATTTTGAAATCTATTCCAAAATACCATAAAAAGTTTATATCAAGCCCCAAGCACACTCAGGAAGCTGGTCATATCTGAAAATCCTGGTGGGTGCTTTCTTAGAATTGGGATGATTATAATAGGTGAGCAAAATAAAGCGTATTGACAAATTATTGCAAACAAGTATGCATGCTCAATTTCTTTAAAAACCCAAATGTCATTAAGAATTTAAAAAAAAAGGACACATGCACATACACAGTCTCGATCTCATCTTTTAAATCCATCCACAGTGACTAGTTGTTGGAGCTGTAGACAGCTGAAGGTCAAAACCATGATGGCTATGTTTGTGTGTGTGTGTGGTTCAGAGTATGCTAAAAGCATGTAACCATTTTGGACGGCACACACAGATTATGTTCACGGATCGTGCACACATTAGGCACGCTTCACTGAGACTTAAGAACTTTTCAGAACAATGACCGTTTGGCTGGAAACAATCGCTCGTATGGTAATTGTACACAGAGACGCAAACAGCAATTAAAGCAGCCAGGAAGCCTGACTTTAGTGTCGCAGTTGTAGGACACTCACTGAAAAACTGTGAAAAAATGTCACTGTTCATTCAAACGCCGAGATCCATTAAATTCAAGTAAAACTACACGCTCAGCAACTTAGTGGGATTAGTTTTGTGATGTTTTGTTGCTGGTCTACAAGTTTTAATATTATACAACAGACTGAGATCTAAAGCAGATTTTTTTTTATTTTATCCAAAACTTACAATAAACTCAATACATACAATATAATAACGGTTGCATATTCACTGGATTCACCATCTCATCATATTTCAGATGTCTATGAGTTATTCTTAACTCATATTCTTAAGACTTTTTGTTTTGTTTTTGGGTCAAAGAGAAAAAAAGGGAAAAAACAGAAGGAATATCCACTAATCACCTCATGATTCTACAAATATAAACCTGAATGCTGGCTTCGGGGTTCAAAAATCAGCGTAACAAAAACGATCAGAGTTTAACGTTATTCGCATCAGCTCCATCTCAATCAGTGACAATGTCAAAGTGCTGCTAACCCATTAATGCTGTTGACATTAGCCGCTTAGCAGTTATATATAATAATACTCAAAGGACATTTTCATAGTAAAAGTTACAAATAGAATCCTGAGATAATGTATTTTATTTGTAATGGAGCATTTTTACAGTAATCAATCTGACTGTTTATTCTAACACTTTCTATATGTAGTTATTGCTCTTTCACTTGCACTGGGAAGTTATTGTAATGAATGCTGAATCATGTGATGTGAATGTCCTATTTGACCACATCTCACAGGTGCTCCATTGGATTCAGATATGGTGGCAGGGGATGCCATCTGACTATGGTACTGGTAGTACTAACCAATATCCAGGTTGACTGTGGTGCTCAATCTTCAATTCCCATTTGGTATAAATGGGCCCAAAGTAAGGCAAGTAAATATCCCCTACACCATTATACCAACAACAAGAGCCTGAATGGTTGATGGATCCATGCTGTCAGGCTGTTTATGTCAAATTTGCATTATCAATTGAGACTCGTCAGACCGAGCAACATTTTCCAATCTTCTGTTGTCCAATTGTGTTGTGAATTGTGGGCTCAGTTCCTGTTCTTAGCTGATTGGAGTGACACCCGTGGTGGTCTTCTGCTGCGCTAGCCCATCTGCTAAAAGGTTCAGAGAGGCTCTTCTGCATACCATGGTTGGAACAAGCGGTTATTTCAGTTACTCCTGCCTTCCTATCAGCTTGAAGTAATCTGGCCTCTTTGATCTCTGGTAAATAAAAAAATAAAAAAATCTCCTTTCCATCTCTTACAAGCAATGTTTTCCTTTGATAAATGCCATTTAGCCGTCATGTGCTACACTAACTTCTCAACTAACTTTAATTCTAAAAAAAAAGAAGCTTCAGGTGAAGATGTAGGTGAAAAAGTACAAAAAAAAAAAGAATTACACAAATTTATTCAGAATCAAATTTATTTGAATATGAATACCTATATACCTTTTATAATCACAATAGTAGTTTTGTAACATAATAAATTGCCAACTTGTCATAGGCTTCCTAAACATAAAGAAACATATTTATGGAGTAACAAATTAACTTACAAAACATAACAGTTCCACTGTTATTAGAATTAAACAAAATAAGGCCTGAAAACTCTTTTCAAAAAACTGAAAATGAACAAGATGCATGGATTTAGAGATCTGGGGGTGCCAGATGGCAGCTGAGAGGGGAAAAAAGTAAACACATTAGAAATATTTAAACCTTCAGCTTGCTGCAGGTTACGACTCAAAATAATTCATGAGAGCCTTTCAGCTATTCCAGTATAATCAACATGAGCTGTAGAGGCCAACATATTGTTAATCGATTACTTAACTAACTATTAGCTGACAATAAACACACACCAGTGTGTGCTGCAGAGGTTTACTGAAATAAGGACAGATGTTCAAGTCGTGTAATTACTGGTTCAGGAGTGAGGACTGCAAAAAGATGGCTTTACTGATACACAATGCTTATTGCTTCAAAAATGATAACGAAAAACAAAAAAGTGCCAATCATGCAAATTTATCTCCTCATTAAACCGACCCCAAAATAATAATAAAAACACACACAGACACCCAGGAACCTGAATATGCATTATAAAAAAATCACAGAGTCATCAATAATACACATTCATGCAAATGCAAACAACCTGAACACATCATAAATATGAAAAAAGACTTCCTTTCATAAGTACCACGATTGCAATAAAACGAGACTGTGTGCGAATGTGAAATTCAGTGCATAATATTGAACCGCTACCTTCACAAATTTGGTGAAACATGCACTTACTGTATGCTTGATGACTATTGCAACATTTCCCCAGGTCTTTGGCTTGTAGACAGCCATACAACGATGATTATGGACTGTGACAGTAAATAACAATGAAATAAAGTAGACAGGCACTTACAACTACTTGGATATTGTACTATTTCCCAACACATGACAAGCTTTGTTTACATACAGGTTTAGCTAAGAGATTGCCAAGTATTGAAGACAACCACGCAATGCTAGTACTATCATTACCTTAAGTATCTCATTAATGAAGTCAATAAAATCTCTAAACAGTTCCACGCACTTACAGTAAAACCACCATAAATAAGTTGCCAATGTCTTGTCAAGGGTTAACTAGCTGTAAGTCACCACAAGTAGGCTAATCTGCCAGTTTTGCTGACAGCATTAACAAAGTTTGCGTGTTCAGATGCATTTAAGACCTACCTACAGCAGCAGCAGCAAAAATGTGGTAAATATCAATAAGAAATTATATTGTCAACAGTCTAAATTTTAAAAAAAAAAAATGGTCATGTTGTTTTTGCTAACAGATTGTACTGTACATACATTTTAGCTAAACAGATTGACTTAAAGGAAAAGGCTAACATTTGGGGGAAAATCATGGTGTAAACAAAACTGATATCACTTCTACATCCTTCAGGTACTATGAGGCTATAAGCAAGCCATGTAACTTAGTTAAACTAGCCAGTAGCTATCTAGTTTAGCTTAGCATTACGCTAAACTAGCCAGTAGCTACCTGGTTTAGCTTAGCGTTAAGCAAAACTAGCCAGTAGCTGTGATCTTAAAGCTACCTAGCTTTAAGACCATAAACTAAAATTAGCTTGTTAGCTTGGTGTTATCCAAAGGTAGGAAAACCTCACCAACTGCTAGGATTTATCTTACTGACTTAAAATATTTTTTTAAAGTATTTAAAAAAAATGTTAGTTGTTTATGTTTACACAGTTTACATCATGCTAAGCTAAGCTAACTAGCTGCTAGCTATAGTTTCACATTTGCAAACATAAGTGGGGCATGAGGTTAAACTAGGCATTTAAGAAAGGCAGCTTGATTTAAGTTATCTTTGAAGGCAGAACATGACACCTAAATGCCTTCTAAAACAAAGTAATACCATGTTGTAATCAAGTCATTACATTAATTGGCCAAGGAATGTTATATTCTTGATTATGCAGCAATCTGACCACAACATACAACTCTAACATTGATTGTATAAGCTCGTTTCTAATGTGGATTTTTGCCATAGCAAAGTGGGAATTAACTGCTCTCCATAACACACGTTCATACCAGGCTGCCTATTTGTTATAAAAGGACTACAAATTGTCGTTCAAATTATCAACTTTGTTCTGCTCCATTCTTCGTAAATTAATGGTTCACAGAGTACTTATTCATAGAACAATCCCAAATTTTAAAAACAACAACAAACCCCAAATGATTTACAAATCTTCAAATTATAAACAGCAAAAGAACATCGCTGATAATAGACAGGTCCCTTTACAAAAAATTATAAATAAACAAACACAATACAAAAAAATTAAAAAAAGCTTCCAAACTAGAAGTAGCTGGAAAACATCAAACAAACACACACAAATTAAGAGGACCGCTAAAAGAAACAAGGCACAAACTTCTTACAAAAAAACGCCAGTCTAATAGACATACTAAAATAACCGTTGTTCTGTCTGTAGATGATTAAAGGTCAGTAGTCAAGGCTCTTTATTAAAGTAACCTGAGAGGGGGGATTCCTTTGCCAGCTGCTTTCAGATGAAAACCTCCATCCTTCTTTTGCAATTAGCCAGAAAAAGTGGTTTCCAAATGCTTAAAGTAGCAGTCACAGTGAGTTAAAAACACAACATTTTCCCATTACTCCCAAAGGTGTTTCTTGACCCTGTTTTCTGCCAGTCTGGGCCTTGTAGAGAAAGGCAAACGAAAAAAAAAAAAAAAAAACTTGGCATATCCACTGAAAAACCAAGACTGCTGCCCAGCTCTCGTAGCACAAAAAAGGATGGTGAAGGCGAGCAGATGGATTCTTAGGTGTGTATACAGTGTTTCATCAGGGCAGCTCCTACCATCTGTGCAGGTGGGAGCGCTACCGGCCTACACGTGTGAGCGGAACTGGTGGCTGGCGTTAAGTGGCTGTCTGCTTCGGAGTGGGATGAGCCAAAAGAGTTTCCAGCGAGTGCCACAAACTTCAGCTAGCGCCCACTGCCAGGATCTCTTTGCGCCATATCTGATAAGAAAAAACAGGTAATTGTTCAAGTAAAAATCCTTTTTGTACCAAACTGTCTACCAAAAAGTGAATGAGGATCATAGATTGCATATAAAAGACGGAGAGTGACACTGCAAAAAATAAAAAATGAAAAATCCCCCACTGATCTGTTACTCCCGTTTTGAAACCACAAGTTCCCTTCTGCTTCGCCTTCGGTGTGCTATGTAAATGGCCTCTACTGTCTCTCTACGGTCTCTACTAGAGATGGACCGATCCGATATTACGTATCGGTATCGGTCCGATACTGACGTAAATTACTGGATCGGATATCGGAGAGAAATAAAAAATGTAATCCGATCCATTAAATATCAAAAAAGCACCTCACAAAACTTGCTACACGGCGTAACTCGGCTCATAAC